AAACTGTATGCGTCATAACTAATTCTAACAAAGGAAGTAGCAGAGAGATTAGGAAGCAATCTGGCTGAAAAACGGCGCGTACTCAGTATTTATACAAGCGGTTACGTAATAGGCTAGCAAATTCTGGGTAAAGGTACTGGTCTAGGGGAAAGGTCCTAAATTGCAGAAAATTAGTTAGAGGTTGCGTGTTCGCGTAGAGCAAAGCCATCGTATTTTTATATTTTACATATATATATTGTATATATTACATATTTATATTTTACATATATATTCTACTAAAGAAGTATTGATTATATTATCTCCTAATATAAATTTAGTAGAATGTATCAAAATGAGGGGGGAGCCCATAAGTAGGAAGTTTAATTCCGAAAAGTTTTTTAAGGAATTTGAATGCAAATCATGAAAAAAACTTCTAAGGGGACTTGAATTTAAATCATGAATAACAAAATTTTAAACTTTTAAAAAGAAATTAGAAAAACAAGTAATTATCGCTACTGATCGGAAATTAGTTGACTTTTCAAGGGAAACAAACCAACTCCCGTTCAATGAAACAGTAATTAATAATTTACTACATATATTGCTTTTCACTCAAAATTTATAAAGAATCTTGTATTAGCGAAAATGCTTCATTCAAAATGACTTGTTCGATCCTCTACTTTGGCTATAAATCCCATCACTTCACGCAACTACAATTTTGGTCTAACTTAATTTGACAGTTTGGCATCATCATTCTTACTTCAGTAAAAGACTAAACACCTTCGCATTTATTAATTATTCTTCATTGAACAGGAGTTACTTTGTTCCCCTTGAAAAGTCAACTAATTTCCGATCAATAGCGATAATTACTTGTTTTTTAATTTTTAATTTCTTTTTCAAGTTTGAAATTTTGTATTCATGATTTAAATTCAAGTCTCCGTAAAAAGTTTTTTTTTTCATAATTTACATACAAGTTACTTTAAAACACAAGTTTCGAAATTAAACTTCCTACATATGGGTTCACTCTTTTTTAATACTTCTACTAAATTTATATTAGGAAATAATATAATCAATATTTCTTTAGTAAATAAATTATATATATATATATATATATATACATGTAGACTTAAAGCACCAAATGTTTAAATTAAATTGGAATCAAAGCAAAACAATTCCTCAACAATATTAATAATTGAAACCTTATATTAATTTAGAAGTCCAACAACAAAAATCAGCGTTATATATTTCCAAATTTTCACAGGACTAGTTTCGATGGTTTTACCGAACCATCATCCTCAGCTGAGATTTAGATTGAATGCACAAGTCCGATAATAATTTAATAAAATTTATTCTTGTCAACAGAAATATCAGAACTCTGAAATTTTCTTCAGAGATATTCGTACGAGTGTTCACAATATCACGCAATATAATCAGTAGTTATACTTCAGACTACTAAAAACGTTAAATACAACGCATTACAAAGCGCATAGAAAAAGCTTACTCAGATTAAATTTGAGCTGAGGATGATGGTTCGGTAAAACCATCGAAACTATTCCTGTGAAAATTTGAAAATGTAACACTGACTTTTGTTGTTTGACTTCTAAATTAATATTTGTTCGGTGTGTAATTGTATCTTAATTGCAACCTTGTTAGGGGCTTGTGGTGTAGTGTTAATGCATCAACTGTTGTTGAACTCCAGTGGAAACGCTAATGACGGAACACACATAAATTTTTGAACGTATACAATAGGTGCATATTGAGGAGCTACACAATTCTTCTGTTTATAGAGGAGCGCCTATTCAATGCAATAGGTGCACGTTGACGAGCTTCACAATGCTTCTGGTTATAGAGGAGCGACTATATATTACAAAAGGTGCAAGTTGAGGAGCTGCACAATTCTTCTGTTTATAGAGGAGTGTCTATATAATACAATGGGCGCACGTTGAGGATGAGCAGTATATTTCTGCTTATAGAGGAGCGCCTATATTATACAATAGGTGCAAGTTGAGGATCTGCAGAATTTCATGATTATAGAGAAGCGTCTATCTAATACAATAGGTGCAAGTTGAGGAGCTGCGCAATGCTGGTTATAGAGGAGCGCCTATATATTTAAAAAGGTGCAAGTTGAGGAGCTGCAGAATTCTTCTCTTTATAGAGGAGCGCCTAACTAATACAATAGGTGCAAGTTGAGGAGCTTCACAATGCTTCTGGTTATAGAGGAGCGTCTATATAATACAATGGGCTCAGGTTGAGGAGCTGCAGAATATTTCTGCTTATAGAGGAGAGCCTATCTATTACAATATGTGCAAGTTGAGTGGCTGTGCAATGCTGGTTATAGAGGAGAGGCTATCTAATACTATATGCACAAGTTGAGGAGCTGCACAATGCTTCTGTATATAGAGGAGCGCCTATATATTTAAAAAGGTGCAAGTTGAGGAGCTGCACAATTCTTCTCTTTATAGAGTGAGGACGTGGGCACCATCCCTCTACCGTTACGGTTAATTGGTATGAGCACCACGCCCGCCCTTATCTAGAATGACATAATTAGGTACTTAGGTTATCGCTACCCATTCAGACTTGCATGGTACATATTGCCATTCTCTGACTTGCACGCCTATTACACATGCCGGAGCATATTCGGACTTGCTTATTCATATTTGCATGGTGCATTTACATTCATATTGCATGGTACATATTTCACACATTTCATATTACACATTACATTTACTGGGAAATTGAATATGACTTATGTTTAAGGTTCTTTGCATCCGTAAGGTTCAATATTTACGTTAATTATACATGATTAGATACTTAGGTTAACTCTATGCATTCATTATTATTTACAGACTTGCATGGTACATATTACACACACAGAGAGATTGATTAATACTTATGTTAAAGGTACTTTACATCTTAGGTATTTAGGTTAACACATAGTTTAACACTACGCATTCATTATTGTTTACAGGTTTGCATGGTGCATATTATATACATTACATAGTACAGCTTATATTTACTGAGAAGACTTGCATTGTACATAGTTCACGCATTACATAATACAAATTACATTTCTAAGAATTTAATTATTAATTAATAATATTAATTAATACTTGCATGGTACATATCATACATATCATACACATTTCATAGTGCAGTTTACATTTACTGACAGATTGATTAATACTTTTGTTTAGGGTACTTAATATTTATGTTTAAGGTACTTTACACCTGTTTGATTCAATTCTTACTATAAGTATGTATAGTTGGGTTCTTAGGTTAGCACATAGGTTGGCTTTACGCATTAATTATTATTTACAGTTTGCATAGTACATATTACACACATTGGTACATATTACACACATTAAATAGTGCATGCTAATTAATTAGAATGGTACATATTATACACATTAAATAGTACTGTGAATATTGACATGGTACATATTACACACAATTACTGAGACATGGGGTATATTTGCATGGTACATATTACACACATTTACAATTTACAGTTAAAAAAAAAAATACAATTGCTGAGAAAATTAGCATGTTACATATTACAATAATATTAACATGGTACATGTTGCACACATTAAATAGTACAGATTACAATTACTGAGAAACTTAATAGTACTTAATTTCGTTATGTTCAGACTTGCAGAATTGCATTTACCTATTACCATATTCTGACTTGCATGACTATTATATGTTCTATACCCTATTCAAACTTGCTTGATGCATATACATTCATATTGCATGGTACATATTCTCACACGTTACATACTATATATTGCATTTACTCAGAAATTGTTTTTACTTATGTTTAAGGTACGTTGCATCCGCAAGGTTCAATATTTTAATATTAATTAAACATAATTATGCATTCATTATTGTTTACAGACTTGCATGGTACATAGTACACACATTACATAATATTGATTACATTTACTAAGAAATTAATTAATAGTTTATGATATTAATTAATACTTGCATGGTGCATATTACTTGCTTATTATAGTACAGTTTACATTTATTGAGTGATTGATGAATACTTGTCTTTAAAGTACTTAATACGTTCAGACTTGCAAATCCAGGCTTGTATGATACATAAACATTCATATTGCATGGTATATATTTTACACATTACATACTATATATTGCGTTTACCTGGAAATTGAATATAACTTATGTTTAAGGTACGTTGCATCCGTTGAGTTCATATTTACGTAATCATACTTAATTAGGTACTTAGGTTAACATTATGCATTCATTATTATTTACAGACTTGCATGATAGATAGTACATACATTACATAAGACTGATTATATTTACTAAGAAGTTCATTAATAGTTAATAATATTAATTGATACTTGCATGGTACATATAACACACATTTCATAGTACATTAAACATTTAGTGAGAGATTGCATAGTGCTTAAGTTTAAGTGCTGAGAGTGTTAGCATGGTACATATTACACACAATTACTGAGACATGGTACATATTACACATAATTACTGAGACATGGTACATATTACACACATTTACAGATTACAATTACTTAGAATATTAGCATGGTACATATTACACGCATTTACAGTTTACAATTACTTAGTATATTAGCATGGTACATAATATAATAATATTAGCATGGTACATATTACTACAATATTAGCATGGTACATATTACACACATTAAATAGTACAGTTTACAATTACTGAAGGATACATTAAGCAGTTTCTTACAATTCTGTGCCAAGTTTTACATAGTGCATATTACAAACCTGCATTTCACATACTACACACATTATTATATAATGCAGGTTATATTAATTTGCATGTAATATACATGCAGAAAAGTCACTATGTTGAAATATTGTAACATTACTAATTGCACAAGGAAAGGTAATCTGCAGATTGGGTTGCAGTCTGTATATAAATAGTCTGATGTGAAAAATAGGCATAGTACATGCATAAATTTGTGATTCCTATGTAGTAGTCACTATGCTGCTTGACACCATAAGTTACATTAAGCAGTTTGACACAATTCTGTGCCAAGTGTCATTAGCTTTGACATGACGGCAGTGATTTGGCGTATTGTTGGCTTATGCTTAACGAGGAACCTGCAGAAGGCCTGCCTATCCGTTATAGGAATGGCAATATGGTGGTCCTCTGTAAGGGGACATGCAGTGATGTAATGGTCTGCTGTGCCCTCTTCGCCACAGATGCATTCGTCAGTGCTGGTGATAGCGTGTCGATGATAGTACTGTGGGAAGGGGCCATGACCGGATATGTAACGTACCAAGAGGGGACTGGCGATAAGTCTTTGTAAATCTACTTTTGGCTTGAAGTAAAAAGTTCTTCTGCCGGTTAAGCTGTTCGTCCACTCCTGCTGCCATTTATTGCAAACAATTTGCCGTAAGGTCTTTTTTAGATATGAGGTAGGCCATGGGATCTGTACTGTAGTAATGTTGTTCCCAGTGGCGGCGTCTTTTGCCAGGCCGTCTGCAAGTTCATTGCCATAAATACCTGTGTGCGCTTTAATCCATTTTATGACGTAATGATTGTGAGCATTTTCACGTAGACTTTTTTGAATGCCTGCTATTTGCGGGGAGGTATGTTCTGAATTGGCAATTGCTTGCATAGAAGACAGGCTATCTGTATGTATTAAGGCTTTGGAGATTTTATTATTCGTTAGATAGCGTATGGCCTCGTGAATGGCGAGTGCTTCACTCTGGAAAACGCTGTTTTCAGTGCTGAGCTGCATCTGCCATTGGTGAAGGGGTTGTTGTTGTTCACTGAGCACGACAAAGGCGCTGCCTACCTTTTCGTCAATACGAGAACCATCTGTGTAGATGGAGATGTAGCCGGATGGTGCCACATATGCTGGGTTCTTCGTGAGGTGAATTCCAATACCCTTGATTGCTGGGTGTATATGAAGTTGTGAGGTCTTATTCTCAAACTGTTCTTGAGAGAAGGTAACGTAATCATAAGTAAGTGAAAGTCTTAACTGATGAACCTGTTGTGTCACCGCTTCTTCTTCTATGCGTAGATGAAGTGGTAGCACTCCTGCCAAGATGTTTAGTGCATCAGTAGATGTTGTCCTGAAGGCTCTTGTAATTGAGAGTAGGAAGGGCCTCTGTAGTGCAGACAGGTGCCGGATTTTCCTTCCCTGCATAGGGAAGGCCCAAATGGCCGCTCCATAGGACACCATCTTCTCGACGACAGTAAGATATAACGCTTTTTGTATGTGAGAATTAATCCCCCAATGAAATCCGCGTTGCATTCTGAAATGCTGTGCTATGATTGCTGTACGCTTCCTTAAATTAAGTATGTGCGGCATCCATGTCAGTTTTTCATCTATGTATAGACCGAGGTATCTCAGGACACGGACAATTTTAATTCGACGATTGTTGATGCGGATTGTCGGTCTTCTAGTCAGTGATCCTCCCTTCTTTGCGATTAGTAGAATTTGACATTTGTGCTCTGCTACTTGGAGTTTTTGTCTGTTGCATTGCTGGTAGAATAGCAAACTTCGTTTGAGTTGGCCTCCAATTCTGCTCTAGCACGTCCTCGGACAAGTAGAGCAACATCGCTGGACAAGTAGAGCAACATCTGCATATGCGAATATGGAGGAATGCGTTGGCAGTGTGAATTTTAGGACTGAGTTGAAGGTTGCGTTCCACAAATGGGGGCCTGCACAGGACCCCTGTGGACATCCTCTGGTTTGGGTACGCTTGATAATCCCACTGTCGTGCACTATTAGAAGGCAACGGTCCGTTAGGTAATGTCGCAAAGTAAGGAAAATATTGCGTGGACATTGAACTGTTCTGAGTGCTTCTAAAATTGAGGGCCACCACAGCATATCAAATGCACTTTTCATGTCTATACTGATTAGAGCAGTATGATAGCCGTGGTTGCGATTATCGTGTATAGCTGAATGTATATCGTGGAGTGCATGCAGTGTTGATGACCCTGTTCGAAATCCATATTGCTTGGGGTGTAGATATTGGCCTCTTTCTAAGTGGTGTCGTAAGCGATTCATTAGAAGCTTCTCATATACTTTTCCGAGAGCCGAAAGTAAGCAGATCGGTCGGTACGAGGATGGATCTGAAGGATCGCGATCCTTTTTTAGGAATAATACGACCTGGCCGACCTTTTAGGAATAATACGAACCTGGCTTTTGGGAACGTACCTGTTTGTAGCAGCTTATTAAAGAAGGCTATAAAAAGTGGCAAAGATGCTCTTATTGCTGTTTTGATGATTTGATAGCTTATCCCGTCTGGTCGCGGTGCCTTGTTATTGGGAAGGAGTTTCAGGACTTGTAAAACTTCCTGCATGGTGAAGTCTGGATCGTCTGCAGTAGACGGAGTAGATTTGTTACTGCGTAGAGATTTATGATATTCCGAGTCGTCAGAATTGTCATCTTGACTAAAGACATGGTCCAGGATATTTTCTAGCGTATTTTTGGTGGATTCTTCCGTAATTAGTGATTGCTCTGATGGTATGAATTGAAGACGCACGGGTTTAAAGAGCTTGTTAGTGGCTATTTTGTGGTGCAGCCCGTAAATTCCTTCCGTTTCAGTACAAAATTTTTGCCAGGAATGGATCTTGGCCTTGATTATTAGCCGTTTATATAATGCTCGCTCTCTTTGAAAGATAGGTAGGGTAGTGCTCTCTGGATTTCATTACGCCGTTCGTGCTTTAATCTGCGTCTGAGCGCACGGCATTTTTTCCGTTGGATGGTGAGCTCTGTGTTCCACCAGTTAGTGGCGTTTAATTTCTTTTTGGATCTTGTTGGTAAGAGCTCTTCGCAGGTGTCATGAAGAATTTTCATGATGTCGTCGGTTAGCGATTCCATATCACTTTGTGTATTGGCATTTTTTAGGACTGGGGTTAGATTGCTTAATCTTTGATCAATTTTCCGAGAGAACTGTCGCTTCTTATTTGATGGCATGTTATAACGTTTAATAATTTCTATTTGTGGTAGGCTATTGAGTTTGAAGGTGATAAATTTGTGGTCTGATAAGCTATCAGCTTCTTCTACCTTCCAGTCCTGCACATGCTGTGCTATCGGCACCGTAGAGAGGGTCAAATCCGGCCAGCCAACAGCAAAAATTCTGTCAAAGGTTGGTGGAGAATCTATGGAATTATGGAGAATGAGATTATGTGTTGATATGAAATCCTCAAGTTGTCTTCCTCTGGTGTCGGTACTGTTGTAGCCCCAGTTGGTATGATGAGCGTTGTAATCTCCAGCTATGATGACGTTTGACAGCTTGGTTCGTTGGAGAACTGACTGTGCTAGTTCAATCGTGGTTTCTAAATCCTCAGCTGGGGAAGCATATTGCGAAATGAGAAGAAGTGAGAAGTTGCTGGCTTGAAGAAGGACTGCACTTAAGTCTCTTTGCTGCTCAATAATCAGAGGAGTCCAGTTAGGTTGACAACATACTAGGATAGCGCGGGGCGGTTGCGTCTTCTCTTGCTGCTGATATATCGTCCATTTAAGTGGGAATCCCACTGCTTGGCCATTTCGTGTGTACGGTTCTTGTGCTAGAATGAAGTCGATACTGTGCTCGATGGCAAATGCTACTGCTCTATTTGTCGCTGCTTGTGCCCTCTGTAAATTTATCTGTAGGAATGCAATTGGGCTCTGTGCTATATTAGCCGTATTTATTTTTTGGAAACTTTCGTCGGGACGTGAGGTTGCTGTTGAGCGCATTAAAGGCGCTGGCAGGCTTCTAGTACTCTGTACTGTCTTTGATGGTCTGCACTCTTCGCTGGTACTGCGGACAGTCGGGTGGTAGGCTGGGTGGGTAAAATTATGTCTTGATCCATAGCGTGAGTTTGCGTCCCCGCAGTTAATGCACTGCGGTTGATGTGCATTGCATTCCCAAACCCCATGTTCTCCAGCGCAGAATGAACAGTATTGCTTTTGGCTTTTGCAGTCTGCCTGCGTATGCCCGTACTGCTGACATCTGTAGCATCTCTTGATGCCAGAGTACTCTGTGACTTTGTGGGCCTGCCATCCCAAGAAGATCTTCCTTTGCTGCATGATGGCACTAAAGCTTGTGGGCTCACATTCGAATACCCACTTGACTTTTCCTTTACGTCGTTCTCTGAGACGGTGGAGGGGCTTGAAGGTGTTATTGGGCATGTTTGTAGCAGCGCTGATTTCCTCAAGCACTTCCTCGGGTTTTGTAGACTCTGGCAGGTCGTGAATTGCACATCTTGGCTTGCGCTTCCGAGGTCTACTGATTTCCGCCGGGATTTCTTTTTGCTTGATGTGCTGCTCGAGAGCTGTGGCATCGTCGCTGGTGTTACAGATTACTTCAATGCCGCCTTTGTTACTTCTGATAATCTTGTCTATTCCAACCTGAATCTTCGTGAGGGGTACTTTGGCGTTGAGCTGCGTTCTTAGTTCCGCTTCTGTAATGTCGGGTTTCGGCCGTATGAAAAGGCTTTGTGTCTTTGTTTTCCTGACGATCTCAGCAAATGTCGGTCGGGTGGCAGTTGGTGGTGGTGTTGAGGCCTGTTGAGAATGCTGTTCCGAAGTCGGATGTTGCTGAGAATGTGCTAATTCGCAACAAAGCACGGTTGAGGTATTGACTCCGGTATCGACTTTGGCAGTTTTTGGTATAAAGTCTGGTCCTTTTATGGCCAGCGTTTGTAATGCGGCCAGAGAGTCTAGGAGGCGAGCACGGAGTTCAGTTGGTAAGAGGAATTTGGCGTTTCTTTTAGTGGTCGTTACCTGTCGGATGTCTTCGTAAAAAATGGAAATCTTTTCTACGTAAGGCAGATCTGAAGCCAATTTCTTAGAAGCGTCTAAGGTACTTTGTGTGTCAGATGATTCTCCGTCAGTTGTAAGGGCCGAAGGACGTGGCATGATTTGAAGGGAGCACCGTGATGGCAGTTATTGTAAAGAGTCTATTCAGTGGTACTAGAAATTCGTTACAATAAAAAATGGAAAGTTCGCGTTACACTATTTTGCACAATTCGCTGATCACTGAATTGAACACAGTCACTACTAGCACTACTTTGCACACTAATTTACACTTACTAATAAACATTTGAAGAAGCCTTTTAAGTTGTATAAAGGACATTAATCAAATTAACAGTGAAATGTATACAAATTATAAATAACTTAATTAAATGAATAATTAAAGACTTAAAATATGGTAATTAGATTAATTGCAATTAGCATTGTTCAAAGGTGCCGGGAACCTAGAGTACAATTAAAGTGCCGCTGTCTATACAGAAGCCTATAAAATTATAAAATACAAGAGTGCAATAAGACTATACCGGTAATTAACGCAATTACCAATTTAAGCACTATACTTAAATACACAGTCAAGTTAATGGGATGGGTAACAGGAGCCTTCTAGGCAATTTGAGAATTATTAAAATCGCACCAATTTGTGCGAAGTTATGAAAAATTTAGCGGTAATTAATCAGCATGTGAATAACAATACATCATTAATTAACACATATTTACGTAGACACTTTTATAATTAATCGAGTTTCCGGTGTAAAACCTGAGGATACTAGACACCTATTTTGAGTAGTAAATAGTGTCAAGTATTGGCTGAAGCCAACCTGTTGGTTAATCTGCGATTAATAAATTAATTATAATGTCAGGCTGTCCTACCTTGGCTGCTATCTTCTCTGTTTTTCATCTGTAAAGCAGGAACAGTAATCCAATTAGCACTAATGAACCAGAATAGCACTTGCACAAACACAACTCACACTGCACTTGGACGCTTATCTTCTGTGTATATATTAGACGCTTATCTTCTTCAGTTTTTCATACTAACTTCTTGAATTTTTGTAAGTCCAATAATTAATGCCGCAAATTAGTAACTTTGGTTCTAATTGGTCGAATTTTATGAAATTTGGAACTTTTACTTCTTATTAGTAGAAAGGACGTTTGCTGTTGGAAGTAAGTTGATCCAGTAATTAGGAGTCTAATTAGGCAGATGGTGGTAATTAGGCCACTACCTACCTTTTTCAGCCGGATGCGAATTCCTTTGGGTGGTGAATCACCCAACGGTATTCTAACGGTCGCTAGCGTTGAAGCTGCTTCAAATACACTATTTGAAAACAGTAATTAATTCATATTTAAATTACTACTTAACCAAATGACGTTAAACTTATTCCAAATTAAAGTGAAAAACCTGGGCTATTCAATGGTATTAAAAATGAGCTGATCCGACTTGC